CCGGACAGCTGTGTTTTGCAACCACTGTTCAGACCGATGCTACTTTTTGCAACATTATTCTTCACACATGGTATGTACACTGTAGGCGAATGCTCGACATCACTTTGATTTTTTGAAAGCAGACGACATTTTGCAGACCAGAAACAACTGAACACGTATGACGTCAGATACGATGCTTATTTCAATCAATCAAACATCGGCACGCTATCGACATCGTTCGTCAAAACATGAGATCAACGCTTGACAGTACAAACACACTGCACACATCGTGAAATGTACGGCACTACCCAGTGAAGTAAAAACAGAAGTAATTAATAATTTACCATTTTGTCTTCAGACCTGTACATTTTAAATGTCAATAATTGATAAACCATTTTCACTGCACGGACCCACACACTTTAGTTCTATAGATCCGTGTAATCTTTTGAATGGCAGGCCTGTGAAATATTTTGATCCCGCCTGACAGTTAGGCTTTTTTGTTAATTCATGATAAAATACGGGGAGGTTGTTGGAACAGCATGCGTGCGCACTATTTCACGTGCATTGGTTAATGGCACGCGCATGGTACATCGCTCAATAATGCACTCTTTTTAACCAATGAAAACCGTCATTACATCACAGACTTGGTAGAATACCCTTTAAATGACCATAACACTGAACATTATCCTCCTTTAGTTTATAAATGTATAAATGAAAATATCTACGTTAATTCCTGATGAGAATGTCCCAGCTGATGACCGTATACACTATAAAATGTAGTTATAATATATCCAATTGTTAGTTTAAACAGTATTTTTATTCAATATATGGCAGTGACAAAATAATACAAAATCAACAAAGAGGATTCGAAAACAAGTACAGTACTTATATCAAATCGTCTCCTTATTAATAAACCTGGCAGTAGGACGGCACTGTTACATATATTTTGATAGTATAACAGACAACGAGAAGAAGAAGAAATCAGGGAGGGAGGCGAAGGGGTGCATCAGGAAATGAAAGAAAGTGGTTACGAAGAGTATAACGAGAAGAACTGCATTACTTAATTAAATCTGGTTGGAATGTGATTCATGAAAAGGTAACCCTAATGAGCTCTATATAAGGATGCATTAAATACGTTTGAAATCTCTAAATTTTCTACTTACTGTCATTGACACTGTCTTACTAGAATTGAAATCGACATGCCATGTTTTTGACCATTCATGAATTTTCTTTAGATTATCATTCAAGAGATTAGCGCTCAGATCCGGCGAATCCACTATAACGTATAGAGACGTATCGTCAGCAAACAACTTTATAATATAATTAATATCTTCGACGATCTCATTTATAAAAATTAGAAACAATAATGAACCTAGAATTGACCCTTGAGGAACTCCAGCAGAAATGTCAGTTAGGTTTGATTGTTTACCATTGATGACAACATGTTGGCAGCGATTACGTGAATAGCTCGAGAACCAATCAAATAATTTACCTGTGATACCGAAGTTTTGGAGTTTAGGAAGAAGGCCACGATGACATACTCGGCCGAAAGCCTTACTAATATCGCAGAAGACCATTCAAATTTCTTTACCATTATCTAAAGCAGAAAATATATCATTAGAAATAGATAAAAGTTGATTTATAGTGGAATCACCGGATCTGATATATACACCTTTCCATCATTTTACCTATGATAGACAAAAGAGAGATAGGACGGTAATTTCCGAGAACAGATGGGTCATCTTTTTTTGTGCACGGGAGTAACATTCGCCCTCTTCCATTGCGACGGGAACTTATAAGTAGTAAGAGAGTGGTTGAATAATGTTATAACAACTGTTATATCATGCTCCAAGTCCGGACGAGTTATCCTTTCATGACATTCCTGCTCAGCCCCGGTCCCAGTGAGAGACAGCGCAGCTGTCTGACGCAACTCATAAAATACTGTAAATATTTACCGCGTTTAAACAGTTTAGAAGCTTTATTGGCGAGATGTTCGGTAATTCATGCTGTCCGGTATTATATGGATTTCGACTACAGTGACGGTTACAATGATAATAACGCGTAAGTGGTTGCTTTGAGACCATCCTTATCGATTTCCCGGCTGTGCAAGGGAGTGGTACGATAGGCTATTATTAAACTTTCCTACTAGCTATATATATATATATATGGAAAAACCCTATTACTTTTTCATAGCTCGCAAAGGTGATACTCAGGACAGAATATTATCGACTGTATGGACCTGGTGTATGTGTAGGTACTTTTTATAAATAAAATGCCTAAATAATTCCAGTGTAAAACCTGACGTACATGCAAATATCAAAACATGACAGAAAAGTTTTGTCAAGGCTGGCCAGAAAGCATCCTCAACATACAAGGGTTCGATACACATATATCTCCCTTCAACAATCAAATCGACAGCTTGCTCCGGGTTAAATACAATTAATTTCAGTAATGTTATAAAACAAAACTGACCAATCGTTAGGCTGAGACATGTCCCTGGCTTTTGTAGTACAGATTATAAATTCTGGGATAAATTTTTGATAAGAATTGAATTATGATGAACTGATAAAGCTAGATGACAGGAAATCCAATTGCAACTTGAGGAGACTCTGAGACACATATTACAAATCTTCTTTCCTTAGGGGAGCAAAAAATGGCTACCTTACAAGGACATATTACTAAAGCATAATTTTATCATAGAAACTGGAAAATATATTCCTTCCTTCCACTTCTTCCCTCCATCCCCTTTCCTTTCTTCCTTTTCCTTCCTTCCTTCCTTCCTTCCTACCTTCACTTGGTACATATATAGGGACTGAATAAGATTCATCTGCTATCTTAGTTGACACAAATACGCAATTTATCTACCACGTACGCTTAGTTCCAAATTAAGAGTCCATAAAGCTGCATTTTTTTTTTGCGTTTACAATAAAAACACGTATTTCTATTCTGAAATGATGTGATGGCAATCTAATTTTTGAAATGTATTTCAAAGTTTTGTTATACGATTCTAAGCAATAATCTTTACATATAGATAAAAGTTTTCACTATAAAAGATTTTCTCTTGCAGAAGCTCTTTTTTTCCATTCTTGAAAAATCTCCCCTCACTTTCATGAAGATAATTACATCTATGTTGCGATTCTGACACAAATACCATAAATCTCTTAATCTATGTAACTCCTCTTCAACATCTATTATTCATTTGTCTTTGATTTATATTCATACTGCAATCCTTTCGAAAATAATTTCCAACTTCCAAATTAACACATAGTTAAATAAACTAAATGTTTGTCATAATAGCTCATTTAAATCGTCCAAGCTTAAGATTTTGATCAATCTTTGCTGGTTTAACTTCAACGATATTTTTTCCCTGGTAGCTCACACAGTTTGTAATCAAATGTTTTTTGGCTCACCAGCCCGAATGGCAAATGAGCTTATGCCATGGCGCGGCGTCTGTCGTCCGTCCGACGTCCGGCGTCCGTCAACTTTTCCTTTGAATGACTTCTTCTGAAGAATGGACAGGCATGGAGTCATATTATTTGGGCGATAGCTTTGTTGGTAAGAGCCCTACAAAGTTTGAGAACGAAAATGACCTTGACCTTCTTTCAAGGTCACAGGGTCAAACGTGTCAACCACTTAAAACAACTCCTCTGAAGAACTGAAAGGAATATAATCTTAATATGTGACTGGTAGCTTCGTTGGTAAAAGCGAACAAAGTTTGAGAACGAAAATGACTCTGACCTACTTTCAAGGTCACAGGGGTCAAAAGTGTCAAATATTTAAAGCGACTTCTTCTGAAGAACTGAAAGGTATATAATCTTGATATGTGGCTGGTAGCTTCGTTGGTAAGAGCCCGACAAAGTTTGAGAAGGGAAATGACCTTGACCTACCATCAAGGTCATAGGGGTAAAATATGTTAAACACTTCAAACGACTTCTGAAGAACTTAAAAGGAAAGGATTCTTAATATTTGTCTGGTTACTTCTAGGGATTGAGCTTGTGAATGAAAATTACCTATTCATATTATTTAGCTGGTTGTTTGCGAATGAAAATGACCTCAACCTTCTTTCAAGGTGGCAGGGGTCAAATATGTCAAACTTATCAAACAACATGAGCCCGACAAAGTTTGCTATTGAAAAATACCTCAACCTATTTTCAAGGTCTCAGGGACAAATATAGCAAAAACTGCAAATAGTTTCTTTTGAGGAAGTGAAAGGCATATGGAGTTGTGATACTTGACAATAAGCTTCCTCAGATGGAGCCCACAAAGTGAATGAAAATGACCTTTGTCTACTTTATTCTATAGCTTTATCTTAATGTAATTTGACATAAAATATCCTTGGCCAAACCTGATTCAATATAGCTATAACATTCATTTCGAACTCTAGCTCAAGAAATTGTGCACCGAGTAGTATAACCGTAATTTATTTGTACAGCTTGTTGTATAAATCTACTTTCTAATTTGGACAATATAGGTACGCAGTGACTTGAGATTATGAGAGTGATACGACAATATACATATACTTTTTAATTTACAATAAAGTTAAATAAACTATTCAAATGCAGTTACATAATATACAAGTCAAGTTGTAACACGCTGACTTAACTAATTAACCTGACGCCGAGTCATTTTCATACGGATTCAAATTCAACCACCAGACGAAGATCAGTCAAATCTGCTAGGCTGATCTGTGCACAGGGGCACGTTACAAATGTCTGAAATACACACATATGCTATACTGATATGGGTCACAACACAAATAAACATACATCAGCGCTGTATAACCAAGTATTGGATTACTTATGGGCGTTTCCAGCGCTGCATAACCAAGTTTAAGATTAATGTTTATGTGTGTTGTGACCCATATCAGTATCGCATATGTGTGTATTTCAGACATTTGTAACGTGCCCCTGTGATCTGTGTAAGATCAATGTTTACCTCGCAAAAAGTGATGACGTCACTATTATATGCTCTCCGTTATACCCATTTTATGACCTACGTCCACCATTACATCAGGTTAATGCAGTCGATAATCGCACGCAAACTTAACTGGTCCTGATCTAGTGTTAAATACAACGCAAGGCTGAACCTGTGCGAACCGCTGGCTAGGCCAGCTCTATTTCAGAACTGAAAGAAAACTGTATGTATGATAAGTATTCCATCCTTGTACTGTGTAATATAATAGGTTAAAATAATAAGGTCTTATTGTCAAATGCTTATATCACTCCTAAATGTGCTTAGAATGGGGATCGGGACGTTAGAGTTGTAGGAAAGTGAAGGGAATTCCCCTCATTATAATATCATTCATGTAATTCAAATCGAACTTTATAATGTTATGTCTTGCATTATAACGTCTGTTAAAATGGTTTTCTGGATCCAGATAGATACTGGCGTTCCAGTAGGTACAACGTTAATGATCGAAGTCCGTTCCCAATTCACTAGCTGGTACAATACGTGCAAATCTGTCAATAATGATGCACAAAATATCATTTTAATATGGATAATGATGTGATATCAGCACCATCAATGAATACATGATTTAAAAATAGACTCGATAACTATTTGAATTATCATGATCAGGAACTGAGATATGATAACAGAGATATAATATGGACATCACATTTTAAATAAAGTATGATAGCCGCTATCATACTTATTTAACATGTGATGTTCATACTCTAACTTATATTATATGTTTACATTTTTTTCATTTCAACAGATTTTATTGACTTTATATATATAAATGTTAATTGGATTGGACATCAGGCTATGCCTATTTAAGTCTTTTCCAGACTTATATTTACAAACATTAACATTACATGTATTCTGTCATAACAATCCAATTAAACAGTGCAGGGGAGATAACTCCAATTTAGCTTGTGAAAACATTTTACAACTTTTATTTAAATATTTTCTGTTTAAGTTTTAGATATTAACAATTAAATAAATCATGTATATTTATTGACAACTCATCCTACATAAAACCCAAGGGATACAGGCCCAAAAGTCTCCGTGTATAAACACATTGGCCATCCACCCACTGGATATATAGGATAAGCTACCAAGAAATAAACATTTTGTAAGATTTCAGAATATGATATGGATTCATATAGGAAATTGTAGTTATTATTATATATTATTGGAGTTGATTCTCATAAAAATGTATTTAACAAAGCACTATAGAATATTCATGTTACTATGAAGTAGTTAGAACAGGTTATATAATAGAACACTCATAAATACCATCCAGTCCAGCTGAATACCAGAGATGTTGTGAAGATAGATAAACACCAGCATCAATACTTATTAGCAGATTGATCATGACACTATAAATAATAGCATCACTTTCAATGTTAAGTATTGCTGTGAGAGAAATTACATAACAAGTTTGACAAATGTAGTCAGATATACTTTGTAAAATGGATATGTTAATATCAACGCTGCACATTAAGCATCCATTTAATAGAGTTTTTAGATTAAAATTAACATGATTACCAGTTATACGAAATTGAGATTTTTTTATTACTAATTGCTTTCTAATGTTGTTATAGAGTGGGCATTTAAATATAATATGAAATGCATTTTCATTTTCATGTCCACATCTACATGCTGGTGTGTCATCTACATGCTGGTGTGTCATTCAGATGATCCATATATAAGTCGCTATTTAGGTTGCTAGCATAATATGTTTACATGTTTGTACTGTTTTTAAACATTTTAGTGTCCGGTGTGGAGGATCATACATATTTTCGGCCTAAAACATGGCGGAAGACCCTATCAATTTTCCCCATGGTAACGAACCAAAAGCTGAAGGACACTCACCAGAGGAGACAGTGCATGTTATGATAGGTGACACAATTATGGAACTAACTCCAGACCCATGTAAGTATAGCTTTCATTATAGAGTAGACAAGTTTCTCTGACGATACAGTTAATATACAAAACGTTATTACATGTATGTATCATTATATACTTGTGACTTTTACTCAATCCAACAGTAGGACGTCTTCGAAATTCACAAATGTGTAAATATGAACGCCCAGGTATCGGATAAAAAGTCACTTCAGATCTTATACGGAAACTTTTAATAAGATGGTATATATAATATGATAGTAGATTTTAGGAATTGATTCAACAAAGATATTCTTGAACTAATAGCGAAACGTATGGATAGCAGACAACTTGACGGGTATAACACAACGCCATTTATATGGCTAAAAATCCTCACTTTGAAAATCCAATTTACAAAATATTATTTACCTATAATACAGTGAACTGAATGAAGTACCAAAACTTTGCCAATCCTAAGTCATTTCCGTATTGCCGTATCGAAGATGATAATTAAAACAGCTGGGATTATTCTTGAAGTAATAAAAACAATCTCCAGATGTTCCCTAAAGCTTGGAATATTCTTGACGTAAGAAATGATCTCACAAAGTGCCCTCGTTTTGCAATAAAAAAAATTAAGAGTAAATTGCAATAGATGTTGCAGACCTACTGGTATAGCGGCAACATGAGTGGCAGACAAATATAAATAATTGTACCCGGACAGATAAGAAATCATATACATTACTGTTGTTAGGTATGTGCTATATGCATTCGTACAATCCAACCGAATACGGTTTGCATGCAAAAAGATACCACCAAATCATACCAAAGATCTTTCTCAAGCAAAGGACAATCTGATTAAAATCATATCCTACGTTCTCTACGTAAACGTAGAGAACGTAGGATATGATTTTAATCAGATTGAAGCAAAGCACTACATAAAGTACCCAGTAGTTTTATAGAAAATGAATTTTAATATCAATGGTTCAATTCGGCTATGTCCTTCTTCTTACATCTCCCTTATTTCAGATATCAAGCTCGGGGAAATTGGAATGTGGTACAAGGAACTGGTCATCACATACTCTTCGGAACCAAGTTCATCGAGTAAAAAATTCCTGAAGAGTAACAAAAGATTTACTTCTGACAAGTCATTGATACGGATTATATGGGAAAATATGCGGAGAAAGTATAATGCTTTCCTCAAGCACATTAACACTGAGAGAAAGACCCTCCGCTTTTCCGTTCTAACTGATGTCGATTTCAAAAGGTTAAAAGAAAAAGCTACGTTCAGTATGGACGAGCTACAGACAGACATGTTGAAAGACACTTGTCTGGATGGTTTTGTACTGAAGGAGATTGCAGATGCAGGCTCACTGCCAGAAAGTGCCTGTACTGATTCGGGGTTAGAAACGGACAGCATGAAAAAATCAAGTGTAAGTTTTAAGTGTATATCGTCTGATGTAAATGAATAACGGTTTGTGAATTAAAAAGAGTTATGTCTTTTGTATTGATAATATTTCCTACTAAGAAACAGTATTACCTGTAACATGGCCAAACTATTTGGAAACTCTGAGTAATGGGTAGGAGTATGATACACGTTTTACTAATCGTATTCAATTTGAGTCTTAAAGCAAGTATAACAATAAACGAAATATAATGATTTAACGACAATCTAAACGCTATTAATGGTTCACCTGTAATAGCAACAGGTAAATATTTTTTAATGAATTTGAAACAACGACAATACATGAATTAATATGTTCATGGATTGACTGTGTGCATTTTGCTTTCGTTTTCACAGTGCTCAGCGGGGTGAGTATTTATGCACATTAAGTTTGGAATTTGATATCGATAATACAAATTAAAAGAAAAAAACCATCTGATATATAATTGTAAAATAACACATTTAATGTTTTTTTTTAACATTTATCCATTCATGAATGTATTCATAAATATACATGGGTTTTTTTCACAGAGTGTTTAATTTATACACCGACAGCACATTCATGAAAGGAATAAAAAATGACTTGAGCGATATCAAACAATCTATCTTAAATTTGCACACCTGTTCATGTATAAATGAACGTAGATATCGACGTACCTCCCGACAAAAAATCTTTGGCGAGCGGTCGCATTTTTTAAAGTATACTCGCCGACAAATGTCGAATGAAATCCGTGGACATTTCTCTACCTCAACGGATGAAGATAACTTAGAAATGCCAAATGATAGCGAGAATTTTGGGCTAGCAGACCAATGGTTTGCACCTCGACCAGATCAGCCTGGACAACCGACTAGTAATTCTTATATACCTGTAAAGAATCGCAACCATTGCCATACCAAGTACAGTTTTTCCAGGTTTCAGCTACAGGAAACACCTAGTTGTCATATTCCACCCTTTGAATATGAAACATATAAGTTAGGACACCGGAGAAAAGAGAGCACCGGGTCAAACGACGACGATGTCGAAGGAAAGTGTTTAAAAAGAACTTTAATCAAACAAATGTCAACGAAAACGAAACGGAAACAAGATCAAAGTAAGCGAAAAAATAAAGTGCAGGGACATCCAGATGGTTCATCGAGGAGTCATGACAGTTCTAGCCCGGTATCCAGGAGCGGCGTTAAAGTATTAAACCCAAGGCCAGCGAAAACAGAACAAGAACAGCGATACACAGAAAAAAGGATCGCAGATCGTGAATCACCTCAAAATAAGCCTAAAGAAGGCACCGCTATGGGACTAAATCATGCTATCAGTCAGAATCAACTCGCGTGTCAGACACCGACGGTTGAGCCTCAGCAAGACCTATTATTGAAGACGGACAAAAGACAGAAGGCGGACAAAGATTTAGCCATTAAGGATCAGCATGGACAGGTAGACGCAAAAGACAGGACAAGATATGTGGACGACGAACTATTACTTGAGAAGACAATATCAATGATGGAGCAACGCGGAGATGTTGATCTTGAGACTGACGGCATTACTGATCCGTCACTATTGTCACGAATTTTCAACCGGAAAAAGCAAGATGTAACGAATGATACTGAAAACCCCGAAACTGTGAAGACAGAGCAGGACGACGTAGTGATTGCTGAAACGGCTCCACATCACGGAGAACAGGGTACACGTATAGCAGTGAGTCCTCAGGAACTAGACCGTGATGGCTCTGAAGTGTCTTGTTCTACATCCCTTACAGAATCACGGGTGACAGGTTGGTACACTATACACCCTCGATATTTTATTTAAAGGGCTACATTTGTTACAGCCTCATAAAGCAGCCCGTTACAGTACTGAATGCCATTTCGTTGTTACTAACATAAATTTCTGAAATACTTCCATAGTACTTCGTATTTTAATGACCATTGGTCGTCAAGCAAACCTGACATATACATTGCAAAAGGATTTATAAACCAAACAATTTCACGGGTTTAATTCCAGAACAGTTTTATGACTATAGCTTTACTTGATGGCGATGGGATCAATAAAATGAACTCTAGGTCAACATTGAGATATCAAATATTACAATTTGTGATTACAAAATAATATTCAAAGGAAGATGTATTCTTCCCGATTCAAACTGAATAACACAGACGCTTACTTAAAAGTTGTAAAATGTATTAATAAACGTTGTAAAATGTATTAATAAACGTTTTATAAAACAACGCCGAGATCGTTTGATATAAATAACGGATACCATAGATAACGGATGGTACTTCGGGCCGAAACTTAGGTTTGCTGTCTTCATTCAGACACTACCGGATCAGCAGACGTTTGTGATCTGGAAGTTGACACTGATGGTTCTGTCCGTACAATCACGCCGGAGGATCTAGAATGGAGTTTAGAGTCTGGTGATTATGCATATTTATAACGATTGACGATTATAATACAAGCGGTGTTTTTTTTCTAAATGTCCTTGCAACATTCTGTAAAGTATCATATTTATTTCACTCGTGTGTCAAATTGATGGTGTTTTCATGTACTTTATTATCTTGATTTTTTTTTTTATTCCATTTCGAAAACCTTTATTATAATTCTCTAAAAGATCAAGAGAACAATAGTGACTAATAGAAATAAAGTTGTATTTGAATATGCATTTTATGGTCATATTGTTTGTATTATATTGTGTCGGTTATACGTAATATGACCGTTATGTACTCTCCAGATAACAGTTACGTGCCAGGCCTTGATGCCGAAAAAATGTTGCGGAGAGTTGGACTGGATACAAATGCGTCATTAATCGAACTCCTGAACAAGAACAAAAAAAGTACGTAGCAGAAAAATACAACCCGTGTTTGTTAACATTTTCTTCATGAATTTAAATATGAAATATTGCCCTACAAACGATGATTCCTATGACGTCACATGGCAATATTTTCATACCAGGGTAATTAGGTTATAAGTCACAAGTTTAGAGTCCTTTTTTTTTAAAAAAAAACGTACTAGTATGAATCATCAGCACAGAGGATTGTTGTTGTTGATTTTTCGGATAATCTGTGATTGTCATAAGCGTGTCTTACTTACACATGGGATATTCCTGTGATAATTCTATGTGTATTTATGTTAAATTATCAAGGTATTGAGAACAGCAGTCAGGAGGCGAAAGGGAATGGCATCGATACTGTGTTGTTGGTAGACGCTTCCTCGAGTATGGGCGAAAAATCATTTGAGCAAATGAAATCAGCTTGTCATAGCATTGTGGAATGTAAGTATGCACATCAAGATGTTATATTTCAAGGAGTTCCGAATTTCAATTCCTGGAGGATTCTTATACTGCATGTGCAATATACATGTTCTGCTCCGGTGTTGTTAACTTTTTTCTATCATTTCCGTGTGTGTAACGTAGAGGTGTCCAGGGTAAGAAAAGGATTTAAGAAAATGTCTATAGTACACCCCATTTTACGTGACGTGACGTCACAATAGCTCAACATTGACGTCACGTCACGAATTTGGAAATTTCCGATGCTCCAATGCGGAAAAGGTGACGTGATGAAAAAAATAATATTTTAAGATATATATACCGTTCACGTTTGAAAGATGAGCCTTTTTTCCTACGCAACATTTGTTTTCAAATATGGAGTATGCTTAATCTCGCTGACAGCTTCGTTTTCATAAAAAAAACTCTGGAAAATTTTATATTTTCATAATAGTAGCCAGTCAAAACGGCTTTTTTGCAATGTTTCTGAGCTTTTTCTGGTAATGGAATGAAAGAAAAATACTTTTTCATGCCCGAGGGTGTAAGATAGGGAAAAATCCACCCTCGGGATTTTCAAAAAAAAACTCGGCAAAGCCTGGATGAAAAATTACCAAATTTGAAAACCTCTCAGGTAGAATTTCCCTATCCTGCACTCATGGACATGGTCTTATATTGCTTTGAAGTGAAATTGACATATCACAAAATTTCGCTAAAGTCTATGTACCCATTAATTATATGCGCTTATCTTTTCAAGTTTTTCCATAACCATATTTGAGATATATGACTAACTACGTTGGTGTGATTTTGCAGTCGTAGAAACTGTTGCAGCTGAAAAGAATATAGAGGAAAATCTTGCTCTTGTTGTGTTCGGAAGAAATCCAATGATATTGCAGCATTTGACCATGGACTATAGGAAACTGTACGATAAGATAGGTAAGGCAGGTAAAACAGGTGTAAAGGTGAGATAAGTTTTTAAGATAAGAACTAATTACAAATTAATTTTTACAGGTTAACTTCATTAATTATATTTCATCTATGCCTGGATGATAATATTATTGGCGAAGTTCTGAAACTATGTACATGTTATTACTCCAATACATGTGCATTTGCATAGAATATATTTTAAACTGATCATTTTGAATATGTTAGAAAATATTGAACCCGGAGGATCGTCGCCAATGTGCCTGGGAACACTGCTGAGTATGATGGAGTTACATCTCAGAGGTAAGCAGCAAATATACACACATACAGCAAGTGGCGAACTCGGGCATGTCGCTTGTTTTCAGACCAAATAAAACTAACATTCAACTTTATAAATACACTATACATGATTTTGTAAAAACAAAACATTGATGCAAATATATTTGTAGATTATTATGGTTGTCTCCATATTTAGAAATATTGTACAGTATCATTTGACATTAATATTTAGGTTTTAAACTCCTTATTTAAACTCCTCGGTCCATTCATCCCACAAATGCGAACTTAACAATCCTCGAAGATATGGCGTTTTTGAATATATGATATTTTGACTTCACGACATAAATAACCACTATTATGTATTATTTAAGAAAACTATAATTATTGGTTTATTTGTTTGAAGGTGGTACAACGTCTATAGCCAGATATCAGATCCCACCTAGAGTTATCATCTTGACAGATGGGCGACCTACCGATGATAGTAGATTCCAACACCAGGAAATCGAGTTTGCAGTGAAATCTCCAACGGTAAAAGTTTTATTTGAACATAATATTATACATGGTACTCTCATCACAGCATTTTTTTAAACGTAAAGAACACTTAACTGGTACTTGTACTCATTATTTAAGGGATCGACATGAGCGAGAGTTATTATGTTGTCATTTGGTGTCGATATCAGGTTTGATTGTGTATTGATGATATGATAGCTTTCATCAGATTTCCTGTATCCTTCTAATCAACATCACAGTGTTCCTCAAGCTACACTACATTGATTGTAAACGGACCAGGGTTTTGGCAAGGTTCTTGCAATATCGACAATACTCAATTCTTGTATGACAAAAGTTTCGAAGAATAAATAATTTTCAATTTTGATACAGCACCTTGGTTTCGTCAGTTTTGCATTTACATCATAATTATTTTGAGCAAGTAATTATGTCGGAGTACTTTTGTGGAAGTAATTGTGAGATTATTTGATATATTTCCTTGAGATATGAGCCATGGCAGCACACCTTTTCGATAACGATGTACCGATGAACTGATGTTAAGTGTTCTTCATTGGGCACCACCATCTTGTCATAAAGTGCTAAAAGTCAAATTAATTGGTCCGTTGGTAGTTGACTGAGATGAATAAAGAGAAGTGCAGGACACTGTTTAAGAATGGATTGTCATAAATAACTTAATGAGTCTACTTATGGTAGATATATTAATCTTTTAAAATATTATGTATTAACTATAACATAACAGTTTGTCTTGTGTTTTCTACTCGAAAACAAATTCTAATAGAATGTATTTTCAATTTTCCAGACATTCATTTTCATGAACAATTACAACTAACATTGTTTTCTTAAAACAAAACCAATAATAGAAATGTATAACTGCTTTGCCTACATTTGTTTAGCTTGTTATATGTTTAAATATGCGACCTAATATATTTGCAAATGGTGTACTTTTTCAAAAGTTCAAATGTCTGGCAGATGTAGCGGTTGAAATGTAACATATTCATATGAACATCATTGTATAGATTTTAGATACAGAAATTTAGACGAAACGATTGAGTGTCAAATTTTAAAAGATACAATTTGAATTGTATAATTATTTTGTTTATCTGCAGGTCAAAGAAAATGTTCTGCTTGCCATGGACGACATGAGGCATCATGGCTACAAGGTCGTCTGTATTCCTGTTGGCCAAGCAATTAACAGAGTAGGTTACTGACTTACTGATCAATATGATTTATTCAGTTATGGTTATATGCTACTTTCATGTGATTTGTAGCTCCTTTGTAAACATGTTCTATGCTCTAAATGCTGATTTGAAAGTTACACAAGATTTGATGACGCATTTAAAATGGTACACGATAATTTATGACACATTTAAAATGGTACACGATAACTTATGACACATTTAAAAAGGTACACTGAAACACATGCTCTGATATTCAAAGGTAATACAATAATGCTTTTCAATGACAAAGAAGCCGCTATGATATATAACATAAACATTGCAAAAGGTAGCATCAGACACTTTCTTAGTTTAAACCATCTCATTCAGTAGGTGAACGAGGAATACAACGCAATTTAATAACTATATGTCAGATCAGTACGGAATGGTGCTTAGTTATGCGTATTTACAAGTTGTGATGATGTTTCAGTGTATCAGATAATCGTATCGATGTTGATTAATTGGTTTTCATAATGGAAACTTTTAGCCTACATACTATAATTTGTGTCAGATATATGATCAAAACATAAGATGAAGCGATCATAGTAATCTTCTATATTTAAATGAATTTCACGTTTAATTCTCTTCATCTTTCTCACTGAAGACCTTTATGGCTGACATGGTTGGACATGCGGACGGCAGCATAGTAGAGATGGATGATCTTAGCTCCATAAAGAAGCACTTTCTGTTACACGTAAGATATTCATATTAGATCTTGTGTTCACAAACTGATAAATGTCCGAGTCTTTTTGGGAGTTCTTCTTTTGTATGGTGAACTTTTCCTACGTTTGAGCATGGTAAACTTGCATACGTAAACCTGACATGACTAATTTATCGCACATTAGTATATTATCTTTGCTTGCAACCGTATACTTCTCAATAGTTAAATAAAATTTTATCAATAAAAATACAGTATTCTTCTTCCGATTTCTATGCGTACCTGACAAAATGTGACCATCCTCCTGGTTTTACAACTGAACAAATATTGACTGTTTACGACATGTGATACTTAATTTTTTTTCAGTACACCATCGCAAAAGTGATTGGAGTATCCAGAGACACTGGGTTTGAGAATCAATACCAAGAAGTGATAGGAAGAGAAACAGCAGGATTGGTACCAAGTAGCTTCGATGGCGTATCATTCACTGAGGCCGATGTGGTGTGTTATTGTTTCACAATCTGTGTCTTTTGTTGAATCGGCGTTAGATGTTCATTTCATGACACTGCAATTAGTATAAACTGTATATGTTTTGCAGTCAAACGATGGCGAATTGAACTAGTTTATCACGAATTTTTATTCAGAAACAACTCAACAAAAAGTATTTCGCAAATGACATTTCTGACGAAATCAACGTTAGATGTACAAGAGCGAACAAACGTACTCGCGGAACTTAACCGCTTTTCTATTAATGATGTTAATATCCATTAGCATTATTTCTATGTTATTTCAGAATCATTATATATAGAATTTAAAAACCCCTCATCAGTATCAGAATTAAGAAGAATACTTGAAGAACATTCATTTCTCCCGTGTAGAGGTATACGAAATGTTGGTTTGTTATCTGACTACATGCTGTTAAATTTATTTGTTATATGCTTTACTATAAAAGTAAACCTAATGGTAAACAAGTACGAAATCGGCATTTTCCTTAGGCAAGAGTTTTTGTAATGAAAATAAGTAACAAACTGTATCAGAAATTGAAAAGAAATTATCCAATTATTGCATTATTTCCACAAATGCATAAGGGATTATTTAAGCATAATGGTATAGATATTAGATTTAAATTCATATTATTTTGTTAACTTTACAGACTATGATTACGACAGAACTCGAAAAATCTGAAGAATTGAACGACATAGAATATCCTGATTTAAATCTGCCTCCCATTGGAAGTCGTGTGTCCATTCCAGCAGATTTCATGTCATCACACTCAGGAGATAGTAAAGAGTATGGAACAGTGATTCAACAAAAGTCTACAGGTAGGTTGCTATTAAAACTGTACACTGGTAGAGTTATATCAAAACTGTACACTGATAGGTTGCTATAAAAACTATACACTGGTAGGTGAATATCACACAGGTACCCTGGTAGGTATATAAAAAGTCGTACACTGGTAGGTTGATATAAAAACTGTACACTGGTAGGTTGATATAAAAACTGTACACTGGTAGTGTGATATAAAAACTGTACACTGGTAGATATATACAAAACTGTATACTAAACTGTACACTGATATAATGATATGAAAACTGTACACTGGTAGGTTGATAAAAAAAACTGTACACTGGTAGGTTGATATAAAACCTGTACACTGGTAGGGTGATATAAAAACTGTACAGTGGTAGGTTGATATAAAAACTGTACACTGGTAGGGTGATATAAAAACTGTACACTGGTAGGGTGATATAAAACCTGTACACTGGTAGGTATATACAAAACTGTATACTAAACTGTACACTGATAGAATGATATGAAAACTGTACACTGGTAGGTTGATATACAAACTGTACACTGGTAGGTATATACAAAACTGTACACTTGTAACGGGATGAGCATATTGTAAACTCTCATGAAGGAATAGAAACACAACACACTGTATTTACATTATTTACAATATTTAATTACCACATACATTAAGAACAAAAGTATATTACATCCACACTCACATTCACACAGTTAATTACACGTATTTATACAGAGAACATCATATCAATGGGCAGCTACCATCTTAGTATACAATATCCTTGAAGCCACCAATCTACACAGGTGGGCAGATATCCACCTTAGAGTGTGTCCAAGCAACAGGCTGCCCCTCAGCCTAATAACACCAGTCCACCACAGAACCCCACACATATACCACGCAGGCACCACGTCCGGTCACCACGGTATGCATAGTCAGAATACACAGAGTAGATAGGGTCACAACCTTCTTCTTTCAGGTGTTGGTCGGGTCCCTTTCTGTCAGCTACAGCATTCTACCACCACTTAGCTTGGTCATCTTCCCCACTAAAATACCTCTGTATCAATCCTTAAGTGCAGACTGACATGTCACACTTGTACTGGGAGTAAACTACAATATAATACAAATAACCCACTGAATAATGATATCATGATACCCTATACTATTTACAACAATGAAACTGACTTGATTTAATATAAATATGTGATTGAAAAGCTTAACTATATACTTCCCAAAAGTACGGCATACGACGCCTTAATATTTAACACCCACTAACCCGTGCGTTCCTTCTAATTAACTGATACCAGCTCCCCTGTATAAGGACACTATTTAGTATAAACAATACTAAATAATAGTGATATAGTGTTGTAAAATGTCATATAACCCTGGTACTTATTGTATAAAACCCCATATAACCAAACAATACTATGAGCGCACGTGTATTCACCCAAACCACATCGGTATCTATAAATAGCTCATGATATAAAACATCGCTGTTTATCTACACAGCATGTTCAACACAATCACACAGATGTTACCTAAAAGTGTTGATGGGTACGGTAACTGTACACTGGTAGGTTGATATAAAACCTTTACACTGGTAGGGTGATATACAAACTGTACACTGGTAGGTATTTACAAAACTGTATTTTAAAATGTACACTGGTAGGTTGATATGAAAACTGTACACTGGTAGGTTGATATAAAACCTGTACACTGGTAGGGTGATATACAAACTGTACACTGGTAGGTATATACAAAACTGTATACTAAAATGTACACTGTAGGTTGATATGAAAACTGTATACTGGTAGGTTGATATAAAACCTGTACACTGGTAGGGTGATATAAAAACTGTACACTGGTAGGTATATACAAAACTATAATAAGCTGTACACTGATAGGTTGATATAAAAACTGTACACAGGTAGGGTGATATAAAAACTACACTGGTAGGTAAATACAAAACGGTACACTGGTAGGTTAATAACACACAGGTACACTGGTAGGTATATACAAAACGGTACACTGGTAGGTTGATATCACACAGGTACACTGGTAGGTAAATACAAAACGGTACACTGTTTGGTTAATATCACACAGGTACACTGGTAGGTATATACAAAACGGTACACTAGTAGGTTCATATCACACAGGTACACTGGTAGGTATATACAAACTAGTACTCTGGTAGGTAAATAAAACACTGTACACTGAGAGGTATATACAAACCGGTAATTAGTCTGGTAGGTATATATATCAAACCGGTACAAAACTGTACACAGGAAGGTATATATGAAACCGGTTATCTGGTACATTGTAGGTATATACAAAACTGTACACTGGAAGGTATATGCAAAATTTTCACTGGTAGTTATATACAAAAATGTGCACTGGTAGGTATATACAGAGCAGTACACTGGGAGGTATATACAAAATTTTACATTGGTAGTTACATACAAAGCGGTACACTGGTAGGTATATACAAAACTGTACACAGGTATTTATATACACAAATGTACACAGGTAGGTTGTATACAAACCGGTAACCAGCTGGGTATAATAAACCGGTACACAGGTAGGTAGAATAAACCGGTACACAGGTAGGTATATACAAACCTATACACTGGTAGTTATATACAAAACTGTACACTAGTAAGTATATACAAAATTTTATAGAAAGACAGCTCACACGCGCTATTATTCTCAAAATGTCACCATTATGTTATCACTTTTTGCAGTGTAGCCGGGGAAACGTCAACAGTTGTGTTCCTCATTTTAAGCGCTTTATGATGGTGCCATGTATTGAGTACACCGAAACAACATATTTCTACAAAAGAAATAATAATTAATCACTCCTGTGTGATTCAGACAGAAACATCGGCAAAGTCTATTGAGATATTTTAAATATCTCACCCTCGGGTTAAGATATCGATGTTTACATAACACATGAATGATAGATTATAAATATCATGGGTAACGCTGTTTTCTGGTGTTGACATCGTTAAATATGCTTCCTTAAAACACAACTAAGTCATACAAATATGATCGTTATAACATTTTGTACAATTATGAATTTTGTTAAAACTCATTTAGGCACGATCAAAGTAGAATGGGACGCCGGGATGTTCAGTTTCCTGGACTACAGCACGGAAAAGATGAATCTAAATCTAGATATCGTGCAGGAACCCCGACGACTGAGCAAGGGCTCGCTCATTGAAGTGGGAGTAGAAGTTATCAAGGGTAAGAAATTGGGCGTTGTATAAACTTAACCAAGGTGGTAACTTAAAGCTCCTTATACCCTAACGTTTTGATGTTACATCATACTGTAAGTATGATTATGAGTTAGGTTTTTGCATCATACCAGCGCAAATAAAATACTAGACGTTTGATCTATGTATGTCTTCGAGTCTGTAGGTCTGTCTGATTGATGGCTGTCTCGACTCTTCTGATTGGATCATATTTTTGTCACGAAAATTCACAGATGTGTGCAGCATGAACAGAAAATTTGACGCATGCCACTTTCACCTCCGCACTGCTGATACACAGTCACACCATCATGTCGTTTCTAAGTGTTACCTAAGAGTAATTTGTGACCAGCTGAGCCTGATTAAAACGTCATAATTGGATGTACCGTGATTGACAATATGGCGTGTAAGAGATCATATATTGTTTTGGAATACCTCAATATGATTGTTTTCATATATATTTTCTCCACTTTCATTTGTCATATTCTAGGCTATACATGTTACGACTTACAAGATATGACTACATATGTGTTTGTCAATTATCACGTCGACATAATTGCTTAGCTATTCATTGCTTTGCGCGTTTTAAGATTATTCAACTTAAGGATCCCTATCCCACTGCACTGTGCTTTTTCCTATATACAGCAACCTTCCATTTACTTCCGTTAGGACATGTATTACAGTCGGGGTAGAACACTTCCATTGACCAGGTAGCTCAATTGGTTGGTGCGATGGTATAATAATCTGAAGTCCGGGTTTTTGAATTCCGGTCTAGCCCCACAGATATTTTTACACCACTCAAAATAAACACGGTTGTTGATTTATTTTGTTATTTCAACTTCTTATTTCTCAAAAATACCATTGTGAAGGTATGGTTTTCTTTTCAAAAATGATTTATCAAAGCTATATTCATACCAGAAAAAAACAGTTTCCAACACTTAGTTTTTGGCAGCGATACGGGGATCCTTAAGATAGTTAAGAAACTGACAAGATTGACAGAATTAATGGGTAAGCTTAAATCGATGGTCGATGCTAAAAAATATCACTGTACTTTCTGTTTTAGTTCCTACAGCCGCGGAAATAAAATCAGATACTGTACGAGGGAGAGTTTTTCTGACCACAAACAACGGATATGTGAAGGTAGGTCTTAATAAAAAAAAACAGAGCTGAATGACAAACACGCAATGAACTTGTGGTATTTGCGAATAGAAACGTAGTTTTTGATATTTTAGAGGCACGATAGTCTAGTTGCCGGGCTCATGACCGAAGGGTCGCGGATTCGAGTCACATCACGGCACTGTGTTGTATCTTTAAGCAAGATACTTTACTCCGCTTCAGTACGAGGTTGGGAAGTGCTAGAATTGTAGAATGCTAGCTGTGAGCGCCGACATGGCAGCACCGGCTGTATGCTCGCCAGAGAGCTGAAAAAGATATTGGCTGGTTGCAAAGGCCCTATAACCACGGATAATAATTTGTGAACCGCTTTGAGACTACCTACGAACTAGGCTGTAATAAAAGAGGTATATAAGAACCTCGAATTATTATGATTATATGTATAAATCTGAATACTTATGAAAGGAGAGAGTATGCTGAAATTTTCCTTGAATCTAGCTCATGAGGATGACAATATGGAAATTGGATTTAGATCAAAGCCATATTTTCATTTGAGTCTTTCTAATAAACTTTGCGTCAATATTCATGTTTTTTGGCAGCACATCTCCACTATTGTATGAAAAAATGATAATTTGGTAGCCATCATTGGGGTTGACATTCTGTATAAATAAGGTTCATTATGTGGGAAGTGTATTATTAGGTATGCTATAAATAGTAAACGGCTCCTTGTGGATATGAACAAAGTCGAATATACATGTACAAAGAAAACCCTGTTCGTCACTATGTTGTAAAGGGTTACCGCTTTGACTCTTATCTAGTTATTGTGTATTTCTTTAATAATATATTATCCAAAAAAGAGCATTTGGATGTTAGCATTGCGACATTTTCATACCGTCCTGTTAATACTAAATTCTTTTTGAGTATATTCAACAAGATGGATTAGATCCCTTAGTGTATGGAAGTGAAGATTAGATTTCGGTCATATTTGATTTTCTTAAAAACAACGTTTAACTATCTCGTGTTTAATGAAAATATAACGGTTTCTGAAGAAGTGAAAATATGGTTAAAAAAAATACTAAAAACAATTACGGAGGGAATGCAATACTTTCTTTTTTTTTTAAATAGAATTTTCTGTAAAATGTTGAGTTGTTTGTTATGATACTTAATATAATACTATTCAAATAAAATAAAAATGCAATGTAGAAAGTTGCAAAAATTGTGTAAGAAACCGGTAATCATTAAGAAATGCATATTCTTCTCAACAGGTTCGTTGGGATGATGGAACTCTGGGAAGATACAGATATGGAGCTGATGCAACGTTCGAACTACACATAGTGTAAGAGAGATATTATGTATAAGATAATGCTAAGATTGTCCTTGTTTGCCCCTATACATAGCGGAAGAGATATCTAATTTAATAACTAAGGCTGTCTTCGTTTGCTCTACTATCCTATATATACACTCTGATTTATATGTTTTTTATTGAAGGAAAAGAATTTTTAAGAAAAATGTTTTTTTGGTTTGTTATATAAATGATATTCATTTATCCAATATAGCTCTTAGGATCTTTTGTATGCATCTAATATTGGAGTTTATACAATTGTATGCTAATTCTCATTTTAGTTTGGAGTCCTATGCGTTTAATGAATGTAAGTACACACATTCACGTCATAAAGCATAGTTGTTAAACTTTAATAGATGGATGCTTAGAAAACGAATTTAATTGAGTATAAAAATCAGCTATTAACACTCTCATATGATTTAGGAGTTCTGCGCACATCCTCTTCTTTTTAAAAGTGTTTAGACCTATTTAGATTTCGGCAAGTTTTTGATCTCTGACATCCACGTTAAGTCCTAGAATTGTTGGCATACTGCATCTATTACCAAATTTTACAGGTGCAATTATCTGTTAGTTCCTCTTGTTTACCGTAACCTTGATAGCCACAGTAATCTCTTTTAAGTAGTTACATAAAGGTTCATGACATACACACTTTACTCATTATTGATTTGAAATTTACCAGTGGTCTCCTTATTTTTAAAATTCATATACTTAAGGGGTTTACGCACCTCCTGTTCAAAAGTAGTTTATACCAATTCGTCTTTCCACCTTTTTGGCCCCTAGCATCACCAATTAGAGGACATAAGAACGAAACAGATGTATGGTGCTGTGTAATTTATTTCATCATAAAGCAATATCATTTTTTAAGGTGCTATCACATGTGTGTCGTTCGTTCATCTTTCTTATTTTGAGTAGAGGTTAACATTTTCCCCATCAATCATATACAGATGTATGGCAATACCAAGGGGAAGCTGGGAAGTGGATAACTTATCCACTAGATAATCAACAGAAACTTGAAAGTGCATTCATGAAACGCAGCAAAACAGCAACTACCAGGACTACTCGGTCGTCCGGCAGGTAAACTAGTTTTTCAGTATTAACATTTGGAGAGCATTATGAGTTCTACGAAATTTAATTGTTCACTGATTTACACTGTTATTAGAAATGAAATCATTCTGTAGTAAAAACTTGTATCATATTTAGAACAAAATTATAGAAAGATGTATCCAGTCGTATAGAAATTAAAATGCCCGTCTTTATTGTTCAAAAACTGTCACAAAATTCAGACTTTTACAAACCAAGTTAACGATGTTGTGATAACGACATTAACAATAAACTAAACGACATTAGTTTGTATGTTGCTTCGGACGTTGTAATGTTAATTATCATACTAAGATAAGACACGTTATTTGCTTCAAGTAACAAACAATAACTAATGTATACCCAAGTCAGCACGTTTCCTAATACAATGCAGACATCAGTGTTTATGGACACTGTCAACCACATTTGGTAGAATAAGAAGAGGAAAACGAACGATGCTGTTTTTGCTCTTATTATCTTACTATAGACACTCCTTATGTGTTGATTTTTTTTTCTCTTTTCAGAATAATATTTGCAGATATGACAGAAATACATACACAAGGTGATGATGTTGGGGGAAAACGGCCCGTAAGACGAATTACTGTAGCAGAGATGAAGACAAATTTTGTATAATTAAAAAGAAGACGAATCTGTTTCAATATAAATCATTGAGTGAGTTGTAATCTAACTCACGATGTTGTTTCCTTCATCCTTATTTATATTGTAAGCAAATCGTCATGCAGCAAAACCTTTACGCTACTTTTCTTAATATACATTAAAACTATTTTAAACATACTATATCGTATAGACATTAGTATAAATATGTTTGTAGATTGTTGAGTGAAGTGATATTATCATTAACATACCAGAGATCCCTTGTAATTGTGGAAGTTTAATTTAAAGTTCACACTCCGTCCTCTTGTCACTTGTAAGTGTTATCTACCGACATTGGCATTAACAATAATTATAATTAAAACGGATATAATTTGATCGTGCATGTTCAGCTACATTACCAGTTCAAATGTGTCCAATCTATATATAAGCTATGTAATGTAGACTGCCATTTTATCTAGCCTTCATGTTGACAATTTGTTTTTTTTATAAATAGTATAAAAATGTATGCTAAATGTCTACGTTACTGCACTCATATAACTATGAACGTTCTAAAAAGTGAATGATCATTTTAACACTTTTACTGAAGATAATTCATACTAAATAATAATGTATGATTCTGTTAATAATATTCTGATCAATAGTGGTATAAACGTCAGTTTTTCAATATCTATCAGATCGTGTGCTACAATGATACAAAGTTAATATGTTTATTTAACACAAATTAATGTGTTTGGTCCATATTTATATTCATATTTTAGAATTAAAATAATAATTTCACAAAATACCACTGCGAAATATTAAATTCGTATTAAAATGCTGATTTTCACTTTCAATAATTCCCAACATAAAATTTATTTGTTTTTTACTTTTGATGGCGCATATGCTTTTTTTAATGTGTAATGCGACTTTTTCATTGACAATCAAATATTAAGTATTAGGTTTGAAGATACATGTATAACGTGAGAGTTAGTGTGAGTATGGGTAAGCGTGTATATAATTGTTGAATATAACTAACAACTAATGTAAATATATGTATGCACTTTCCGTTCTGTCACATAAACAACCAAAAGAATATATGAGCGAAAAAGGTCACCGTATTGTAACATATTTAACTATTTTCTTTCTTTTTTGTGTGTGTGCTTTTTTCATCCTGTTAGATTTAAATATATATTATGTATTCTTGACATAATCAATTTAATGAATCGGCGAAACGGCATATATGATTTCCTTTTCAAACAGTGTATCATTAAAACTTTGGCATGTATGTTTACCCTATAATGTCTGATGAAAAAAGCGTATTACACTAGTGCGAGCGTTTAAATATAGTAATACAATAATGTATTAGTTACATGCTATGACGATATTCAAATTATAGGTAGTCAAAACATTAATTAAACTATCTAACAACTGAACAATTATGTTTTTGTAATGGTAGAGATATATTTGAATCTATGCTGACGACAGCGACCATAAAGTGGTTCGGGAGTGCTATTAATCAATAACAGACGAATGTTTCAATAAATACATTTTCATATAGATATATGGAAGCGTTGTAACTTAGTATTTTTTTGAGAAAAAATGTTATTCACGATGTTTTACAATGTCTTTATAGTCAGATGTTCACTCATGTACATCAATGTGTAAATGGTCACTGTTGTTTATACCTTCGTGTACTACAGTAAGTGATTATGTAACGTTCAAAAATCATGGCTACCAGATATTGTTACATATTTTGAAGGACTTGACAGATCTTTATTTCCATGAATGCAATATGTAGAAGCATATTTTACTCCTTTACATGCTATAATTAGAAGGGGTTTATTTTAATGCTAACATAATACACTATCACTCATTACAACCGTTCGTTTAGTTTCATATTTCTGTGAATGTTTATATTTTGAGTTCTTACATCATACATTTATAAATGTAATCGGAAGAGATGATCAGCCGACTGTGAAACATACTGTTATAGAAATGTTTTAGTGACTTGGTATTAATTAGATGTTAACCTTAATGCCACATTTCCACATAATATGTATTGCTGAAATAATGAGTTTATCAATAAGTTTTAACTCCTAACAGATAAATCTGTTTACATTTTACATAAATAATCGGTATTTTGTGTATTATTTATGGAAATCCCGAAATATGCAAACAAACACTCAAATAGTCTTCATATATAAACAGAGAGACTGACAAACAACCACGAGAGACCATAACCATGAGATGTCTGCTAGATTTGCGCTTAAAAATGATTTGATATGTAATGATAAATGATAGTTTGTGATAGTTTTGTGGTTATGTTGCAATATCAATTGTGAGGATATAAGGCCTTTTCCCATATGTTATTTTTTGTAATTCCTCCTTTTTACCTAGTTATGGAACGTGCTTTTCTTCGAAGAGCGATAGTGTTTACTTGTGCAAATTAGATGTCTTATCATATAATATAAGGTATCGTAGTATATATTTATCAAATCAGTCCATAGTAACTTTTGACCAATCAGCTATTACGTCTTAGAGAGTTGTTGGTATTGAAAGCTTCAGTTTCATTCTTCGTAGCGTCCTGGCTGATTGAACTTGTTTGTTTTGGTTTACCCACCCACCATTCCCTGCATCGCCTCAAATTAATTTGCTGTGTAATTGGGTTTTTTCAGGTACATGTATGTATACAGTAAACTTCATATTTGTCTATTTGGTCAATTTATTACACGCTGCCCCTTTGTGAGGCTTCTTTTTGCCGCTTCATGTTGTATTTTATATGTAATGTTTATGTTAGGTGGGTTACTCACTCTTTTGCTTGAGACTTTATAAACAACTATGTGTAAAGTCAGTGTTATTTAGATTTGCAAAATCATTTCTTATATTATTTGCTTCATTAAATAAGGATTATATACATTACATTCAATTAAAAAGTATAATTTATCTTCTGTACAGTTACATTTTGTATACATCTTACATGAGCGTTCCTCTAGTGGAATCACAGGTTTGGAGTATCTGCCAGTTTCCACTGCTAGAGGTATAGAGCCACATCTATAATTAAAAAGTACTCTTCGATTGATCTTTTGTCTAACAAGCTTGACATATGAATCCGGTATTAAATTTGATTTAAAAGTTCTCAACTTGTTACCATTTATATTACCACTATCATTCCATATAGACTCGTACCATTCATCAGCATCTAAAATAATTACTAATTGTCTATAAACATATGTTCCTATAGGGAACCCAATAATATTAATGAACTTGTAAGTCACTCTTTTCCAGGCTTTCGGGCTTAGCCCTTCGTCAGGGATTAAATATCACTGGACCTCTATGTCACATCCATCTTGATAAACATGTTGAGTAACTATTTAAAATAAATAGTTTTTCTTTCACTCGTCTAATCTTGCGTTTAACAGAAAACGTTGAGTTTACATTTTCATTCAAATTTTTGTCATCAATCATTTTCAAAATTCTAGAATCCCAAGATTTTTTCAGACTAACGGACCATGGATACACTTTTTTCATGAGTCTGTTATCATCATAATACTTAATTCTTAAAAATAAACGTGTCGTTTCTAAAACTTGACTTACATTGCAAGAGTGCCATCCCATATCACCTCTGCGTGCTAAGTTACTTGCCCGACGGGAGGCTCCTAGAAAATATCTACTTGCTTTGTGTAGTATGACAGAAAACTCTCGGTATTTATTTATACCCCATAATCCACATCCATAAAAAAGTAACGGCTCAATTAAAGTTGTATGTAACGTGTTACATACTTCATAGGCCATTTCACCGGCATGTGAATATTTTATAAATAAAGTTGTAAATGCTCTGCTAGCAGATTTACAGAGTTCTCTGACAGATAAATTCAAATATAAATGTTCCTCAAACCAGAGTCCTAAGTACTTATGTTTGCTATTCAGAGTTAAAGTTATGTTACCTCAGGAATTTTATAATCAGTAATAGGGGAGGAATTCTTTCTAAATTGGACTGTTAGTTTTGTCTTGATTAACTCCGATCTTCCACTTTTTACACCATTTATTTAAAACATCTAGCATCCGTTGCATAGAACTATTTGTCGGGGGCAATGAGTGCAATGGCATTCGCATACAAATTATGGAGATAATACACGATTCAATATCTATACCGCATTTCAAATCATTAATATATTTTGCTATATCATGTATGTACATAGAAAAAATAGTTAGTGAGGCATTACAACCTTGTTTCAGACCTTGCTTCATATCCATGGGTGGCGTTAAAACACGATTTACTCTAATTTTACATTTATAGTTAAAATATAATGATTTGATAGCATTTAAAAAAACATCCATTTATACAAAACTGTCCTAGCTTAGCCCATAAAAGATCTCTGTTCACAATCAAATGTTTTTTTCATATCAACAAAACATAGTTACAATAGTGGATTTTTTCTTGATCTTTCTGTTATTCAAAAGAGAGTACAATATATATACTGGTGGTTTAATCAACTTCTGTTCTTTCTAAAACCATCTGTTGATCTGCTAGTAATTCATTTGTTTCTAACCATTTTGACAACCGATTGTTTAAAACGTCGGCATAAATTTTACATGGGATTGATATAAGTGCAATTCCTCTATAACTATTTGGATCTAGTGGATCCTTTCTTGTTTTTAGAATAGGGTTAATAATACTTTGAGTCCACCTATCCGTAATTCTACCATTATCAAAACAATTAACAGTAATAGTATGTAAGAGGTCAATACAGGGTGGGTTTCTGCGAACATTGCTCTGTATATTGTCAATACCAGCCGCTTTGTTCAACATCTTGACGTGATATTGGTTAATTCAATAGACTGCTGTCAATATCAAGTTTGGGTCCCAACAACTTATTAATATTTCCTTTTCCATCAGTAACGTCTGTCATGTCAGAGCTTTGAAGGTTCTGGAAGGAGTCGTACCATACCTTTGGAGATTCACTCGAGTTTTTCGTAGTATTACCATTTGCATCTCTCATTGTATTTGGTATGGTATTTAGTCTGTCTTTTTGCATACCTAGCTGGCCTATCTTATTCCAGAAATCGCTAGGGGAATTATTACACATGTCAAACAGTTCGTCTTGTTTGATTTTTTGATATCGTCCTTTATCACGTCTAAGTATTTTGTTAAGGTTTCCGGTTGTTTATGTATTCGCTTTAAACTTACATGAACGTTACACTTTAACCATAACCTTTCACTCTCATTACGTTTGTGTACGAGGTTCTGTAACTCATCATTCCAGTGTAGAATTTATACTCCCCGTACCAGTTCTAACGTTCAATTTTGGTAGCTAAGCCTCCATTTCACTTTCGATTAACTTTGTAATGCGACTGTATGCCTGGTTACCATCTAAGAAGACCTCTAAGTCATGTTCTATTTCGTCAATAGTCGTTAAACATTTTTTCATTGCTTCATCGTCTTTCATAACAAATTCTGGGACAGTTTTAGTATTGACTCGTTGAGGTCCGTTACACCTAGTCTCAAGGATAACGTATTTATATTGTTGGTAAAAATGCATACACCACCACTGCCTCTTCTGACATTATAACTGGGGTTTTTCTGTTTTTATATATGTACATTTGTACCCTGTAATATTAAAATGGTGTGTATCTCTCCAAACAGTTTCAGCGCAACAGAATATATCATAATTTAGAGATTTATCAACAGTTTCTCTGGAAAGCGAGTTTTGAAAACCTTTCACATCTTGTCTCATAGCCCATCCACCAACATTGAGGAAACCGATGTGCGGCTTGTCCCGCGACCCCTGTGCTTCCTATCTCCAGACGTTCCGTTCCGTGGAGTCAGTCCATCTAGGGGTTTGGTTCCTCCTGTAATTATTGTGTCCTCTCTGACGGTACCTATGTCCGTCATGTATTCCCTCTGATGAAAAGTGTCTGTCCTCATGGTAACGCATATTACTGTGCTGTTGGTCACGAGATGTAGGGTCCCTTCGTGGGCCCCGCTGTCTGTCAGACGATGTGTCACGGTTGAGTGATCTAGAATACGAGTGTGGACTCCGCTCACCCCATTTACCGTTACCCGTGCGTTCACTGCGGGTACGATAGATGTACGATACCTTCTCCTACTATGAACTCGGTATCGATCCGCAACGCGCGTTATAAAATCGCCAAATATTAACACTATGCCCCTTTTTTCTATTTCTTAGCAATCTCTTCAGGTTGGTTAGTTAAAATTGTATGCAGGTTCTTGTGGGACGCTTCTATGACTTGTACGGTATGTAATCTGTCATCTTCACAAGACAAAAGCAAAAACTATTTTAGCTGTTGCAAAGCTTATATAATTCGACGTGTATATAATTATTTGGGCCATTTTAACGACAAGTGCCAAAACACCACCTATATGTAACCAAGTAAATGGTAGCAAATATTCCGTCAGGGTCGTGTCCCTTGATAGGTAAGAAGCCAGTCTGATCAGCTATGGTATACCTGTTTATATGGCTCTTAGGGGGGTATCCGGATATGGTATGATAACATCTACTATGACTTAATTATATTTTTTCCACTGCCGTTGAACCCAAAGTACGTGTGCGAAATTCTCGTGCTTTACATTGTTACTCACTCATTGCTTCAAATTACTTATTCATATGATAATTATATTTATTTATTAAAATTGGTGCAACAAAACCGATTGTCAAAGTAAAAAACAATGACAACGGTGATGTTACATACTAAGACATTCATGCACTACATACATATAAGATAGATAACAGTGCATATTTATGAAAATTACGGTGCCAAGTAGTTACAACGTCTGACAAACTAACCTGAAATATTTTAAAACATATTGCAATAAAAGGATACTTAAAAGAAAACATAGTTTATCCAAAGATTCAATCATTTCACCCGAGTTTCTGTAAAGATTTCTTATTGCACTTTAAAAATTGATGAACATCTTTTTCACTGTGTGGAAAATCTAATTTGTTTAAGTGCAGAGGAACGTAAACATTTCTTGGAGCTAGATTACCATAGTTTTACTATAGTTAGGAACAATCAAACAGACCATGAAAACATTTAACAAAAAGATGAAAAGATCCAAATATTGGTGTCTGCTCTTTCTCTTATTTTAGAAATATTAATATATACTATATATATATATATATATGATCGCCGATATCGCAAGACATGTAAGAATGAGGATGGAAATCAAAATTCGCTTTGTTTTTTGCACAGTTTCAATAGAGTGTACAAATCTAGTTTGGTAGATGGCCAGATTTCACTGGCTAGATAAACATAAAATGACCTTATCACAGACAGACACGTTAATTTTGTAAATATTTGCTGGACTGTATTAAACGTCCAAGCTTATGCATACTTTTTGAAACAATTTATAAGGATGATTGGAGAAATTGGATTAAAGGATAACCACACTCTGTAAATCGTTATCAAATTTTACTTTCAACCCAAACTCTTTCTAAACCGGTGATGATATTTTAGGCAAATTTGGTATGCAGCATCAATGTGCAAGGGGAGCTTTACTTCTCCTTTAGTATTGAGGAAATATATAATTTAACCAAATATTAGGTCTGAAAGTCAGTGAGACGATGGGAATTGTTGCTGTAAAAACAAAGAATGTGTGAAACAACCCGGGTGCGGATGTTTCTCGGCTGGGCAATGTATTGGTGGCGAAGATTAGAATACAGGGCTTGGTGGACGAGTCACAAATTGTTTTTCTTCGTTAATTGTCTTCCTATGTTTCATATCCAATTGCAATAACAACGTATGATATACCCTAGTGTATGTTGTTTTGAAGGTTTAAATATATGAACTACCTGTCGTAGAGTACTATGTCCAATATATTTATAGATATAAGATATAAGTATATCATACATGTATATTACTGTTAGAATTCTATTTATTCTAACAACTTCCATATCTACCATATTCATGTCTTTGGCACCAGAACAATTGTTTTTCGTTGCATTACATATAAATGCACGATAACAAACATCAAAACAACAGCGAGTATTTGACAATAGCGGTTTGTTGTGTGTTAGAATGTTGATGACCCGTGTAATGGCGGTGTCAGAGATACCATCATAGCCTACCTGACACGTACTAGTCAAATGACAAAGCAGGTTAAACGGTGTAAACGAATCAGATCGACACCTCCAATAAATATATACAAACAGTTTTCAAAGGTATCCATGTTGTTCGTTGTCTGATACCATGTGATCGGGCATATCGTTTTTATGTAAAGCTTGCCCAGCTTACTAGTCATACTAGAATTATGTAGATACCGCAAAACGTGTCTTTTTAAAATTTAGTTCAAATATGATAGAAGCATAATACACTTGCATTAACCTATCAATTACCTCACAACACTCTATAAATCGTATGATATTATGCTGTAAAAATAAATATAATATACAGATATGCAGTCATAATGTTTACTGAACTTTAATAATTCACAAATCAATCACATCACTTTTATTACAAACAAAAGTTTTTTGCCCTTAAAATGTTACCATTTCTCAGCTGTAAGAACACAGATCACAACCTATTGATTTGTTTTAAATACCAAAGTCTACAAACTGATATAGTGAACGGTCGTGATAATACCAAAATTGTATTCAAAAGGCCAACCACCACCTACAACGTCATTGTTGTGGAACCGTGCATGCTTTGTATACAGTGTCTACGTACTATCGTAAACATGAATCTTTGTTAGGTATACTTCATTCATTAGCGAACTAAAGTCACGTGCTGGTCATGGCCGGAGATAGAACAGTTTAACTTGTAAACTACTTTATTTGTTTCTATGCACTAGAGAAAAAACTGTATACTACATAGTGTGTAATATGTTACTTCGGGGAATTTTCAGTATCGTTACCCGGTTTAGATGCAGTGTGGAGACATTCCGCTGAAGACATAGTCCGTTGAAGGAATATCGGTGACAGTTGTCTCACCATTTTGAGCTGTGGTATGTATCACGCAACACAGTGGTGTGTCATATACACATCCTATTGCTGTGTCTATATAATACAGATAATGCTAAAACAGTTATAACATTTGTTTTGAAATAATCTCATATCAGTCTGTTATCATTTCCCAATCTATTGAATACCTTTTAACGACTCATAATTGGTCATATGTACAAATATTTCACAATAGGCACCCATGTGCATTTAAATAGCTACACAGGTACCAAGTCAATGGGGCTTATGTACGGCAACCAACAGCATTGTGATCCAGACAATGACACACGAAGTTTTAATGATAGACTCTGTTACACTATACAAGACGACGGATGTAATGACATTTAACTCAGTTTTCCTGTAGACTGTCTACAGTACGATATGATATTCTGTATGCTGTAACGAGAATGAATCTCAAATTATGAATGATAATGATATTTTTGGTGACCATCTATGTAAAACAAATCTAAACAAAAAATCAATCCATGTCATGTTTCATTGTTGAAGTTTTATTAATATTCATATTATATATACAATAGATAACGATGGGGTGTGGAGCCAGTTTATCCAAGACAACAGACACTGCCACCCAGCCAATAGACCGGGAGCAGCAGGAAGCAGCGCGAAAAGCGGATGATAAACCGTCATTTACCTCGGAAACACAAATGGAGGTAGAATATATTGGAGAAGACGAAGTAAGTTAAATTTTCAAATAAAATATTCGCATGCTTTTCCTTACATTTTCCAATACCCAAATATCAGTTCAATACCTTAAAAGTCATTGAGTTATTTCATTAAGTTTTCACAGCATTAAATTGAAGTTGGAGAGATTGTATAGAATATAACCTGTTGGAAAGATAGTACATTGGCTTTTATTTTTACCGAATTTATTTTAAAAGATGGCGCCCGTTTGAGACGACGAAAAAATCACACATTAAAATGTGTTCAAGTATAAATTTTAATGTATAAGGTTTTTTTTCCAAATGTATGATGAACAAATCGATACACGTAAATTTTTAGATTTCTATTAATTAAAATGTAATTTTCTTCTAAGATATGTTTTATGTATTATATTATATTATATATATGGAGATACCTTTACACTTCATTTGCTTTCGACACAAACCTGCAAACGTTCACTTTTGCAAAATGACTAAGCGTTTGAAATTCAAATATCAGATTTTAAACGATTCCAGTGTTTTCTGGGAACAAGATGAAATGTTTTTCTAAAATTAACAAACAACCGAGGGCATACGCATCAACAATTTATTCATTATAACGTATACTATTCGCAACCCTACTTTAGCGGTCTAATGTCATTTTCATTCAGTCTATATCAAACGCAGATGTTTACATGTATAAGTTTGAATTACTTTTCACATTTTTCTGAGCAAAAGGAGCAACTTACCACTTGTTCAGCAAAAGTGAATCTGTTACAGTTTTAAAAAAAATCCTCGATACTCCAGGAGTAACGCTCACTTGTTTATCCTTTGATGTATATCAAATGAATGTCGCGGGCGCGTAACGTTAAAATTGACTGGCTTTGAGACCAATCAAATAGCTAGCCGCGTGCCTTCAATTTTGCTATGACTTATGTCAGGGGTGCAGAAAGCGAAAGTGAGCGTAACGCCTGGACGTATCGAGGATAAATTTAAAGGGACTTTTACTGTTTGTACTAAGTGCAAAAAAGTGTTGCAAATGAGTGTTCTCCCCTCAGTGACATTTTAATACAAACCCGATAAAATCAGTATAAAGGGACACTTTTTTTAAAAGAAATAGTACTTCTTTATGCTTATTCTCTTATGTAAATTTTATTAAAATATTTGACACCATAAACAAACCTCAGACGAATTACCTCAATTCTTTTTCAGCAATGTAATATTTCCTCTGTAAAACAATATTTGTTACTATATGCAATACATTTGTTTCAGTTAAAAATAATGAAAACTTTGCGGCATTACCCAAAGCCAGTCCCTAATTCTAAAGGTCAGAAACAAGAAACACCTGTACAGTGGTTTAATGATTGGACTCCTGAGTGGCCGGATGCGGTCCATAGCATGACTAAACAAAGACAACCGAAATCCCAGGATACCGACTCCGGTCTCGAGGATGTAGCTAATATCGGTCTCACCGTCAAAGATATCGAGTTCAGGGCACGTCACGTAAGTCTGATCACTTTGGCGTTGTTATGGCGGCATTCGTGTTTTGAGACAGCACACGTATGCCTGAATAAAGACGGCACCTGCATACCTGTCTAGAGACAGCACCCGTTTGCCTGTTTAGAGACGGCATTCATATGCCTGTTTAGAGCTGACGGCAAACATATGCATTTTTATAGACGGCACACATTTGCCTTATCACACGTATGCCTGTTTATAAAAAGCACCAGTAGGCATGTTTAGAAACGGCACACGTTTGCATGATTACAGACAGCACAAGTTTGCCTAATTAGAAAAAGCACTCGTATACCTGTTTAGAGACGACGGTTAACATTTGCTTTTTAAGAGACAGCACACGTTTGCATGATTAGAGACGCCACACGAATGCCTGTTTAGGGACAACACTCGTATGCCTATTTAGAGACAACACTCGAATCGTGTTTAGGGACATTACTCGTTTGCCTGTAAAAGACGACACCAATATGCCGGTTAAAATACAGCACTCTTATGCCTGTTTAGCGACAACATTCGTATGGCTGTTTAGAGACAGCATATATATGCCAATTTAGATATGACTTTTAGGAGACGGAACCAATTTGTGCCAAGACTTTAGATTTCTTCACTTCTACACTTTAACTACATGGAAATTTATATATAGAACTATTTCAACTGAATACGTGTGTTTCGGAATGGTCTTAGGGAAGAATGTAAACTATTTTAGTTTAGTACCTTGTACATTATACTTATCACGATTTATGCAATTATGCCATCATTATGTTATCCATGTGTATATGACTGAAAAAGCGTTTCATCCAATGTAAAATAGGATAATAAATAATTCAACAATTTCACTCAGTATGTGAATTTTGGTATGAATTATAGAATTGAAAGCTCATATATAAAATTATCTGCATTGACAGAGTGTCGATAGCCACGATATGTGTATGGATATGTGTGAGCATAGCTTTAATGCTAGAGTTTCTGTTGCAGACACCACGGTATTTCAATGAGAGCTTCGACGATTTGTTGGAGTACCTTGTCATGGGTGTTGATGCTTCAGCACGGCCTGATATGTTGGTTGTTCGAGCTCTTGTGAACTGGCTGAGCAGTCAAAAGCTCAACACCTATAAACACTTAGAAGGGACAGAAGACTCACCCGAAGGGTGCCTGGCTCTTCTGGCGCAGAAGCGCACAACATTTTCTACAGTGTTCACCATCATATGCCGGTAGGTCCTTGTTAGCTCTCAGGCAACAGTAGCTTGACACTTTATATGTTTGGTATATCTAATTTCAAAAACGATCTCATCGTCACTCTTCTGTCAGAGAGAATCAATCTACAGTGTGTACATTGTTGGTTGCATTTTAACTGTGTCATCGGCTAATGAATAGACAAAATCGCTATTACTATTATACTGGATATGATTGACAAATAATATTATAGAACTGAAATTTGTTTTAAATTTAATAACACGCTTTATCTATTTCATAGCTATGTTTGTCGTTTGTTTGGCCTAGCCTGCTGTTCAATCCTATAGTTCACTGAATAATGTTAATGAAATTGACAATTGTTAATTGTTTTCAGATGGTTACTTATTTGTTGGTGTTCTGTGTCACAAAAGAAGCATTAATACGGTACTTACATTTTAGCTTTTGTGGACAAACAGCATGCAAAGGAAACACCATAAGTCTGTTTTTACAGTAAATACTAGTTTGCCATATTTATTCTATATAGGAAAGCTGACATACCATGTGTTCAGATCGGAGGGATGTGTAAAGCGCTCGGAAGGTACCAACCTGGAGATACGAACATGACGGACTTAGCGTGCCTGTGGAATGCGGTCTACATAGAAATGCAGTGGTACATCATTCATCCAATATGGATGTGCAGGACTTATGTTGGTACAAAGTCGAATGGTTGGTTCAAATTTGCAGAAAAGTCACAACTTCTATCGAACTTCAACAAACAAGCATTCACAGACTACTATATGATGACCGACCCAGAGGAGTTTAAGAACATGTGTTATCCATTTGATTCCCAATGGCAATTACAAAAGAAACCCATGTCCAGGAAGGAGTTCCTTGATCAACCCTATCTATTGCCACCGTTTTTTGGTCTAGGACTCGCACTCAAATCGAAACATCCTTGTGTTCTAGACGTTAACACAGGTAAAGCGCTGATCGAAGTCGAAGCTAAGGCAAAAAACTCATATTTACTTCATCTTTGGTACGAGCTGTCTTTCGGAAATAGCATTCCCTTGCTGAACGAATCAGATGGAAAGTATGTAGAACCACAGGTGATGCCAAAGCATGTGCGAATGGTTCGATCAGGATACAAATGGAAGTTTGACATCCATCTACCTGTGGAAGGTGCGTACAAATTTGCAGTATTTGCTGGGCCTAACCCAAATCCACTAGTACGAGTTTGTGAGTTCCTTCTGAAGTGTTCATCGCGCAAATCAAACTGTCTCCCTCTGCGAATTGATCCTGGACCTACTGGATTTGGGCCAAACATTTCATGTGAACTAGTTGGTCTCGTGATTCCCATGAAAACTCGAGGCGAAATTTACATTAGAAAGGGTGACGTGTTTATCGCAAAATTTCTAGTCGAAGGAAATGTCGCCGAAAAAATAGAAGTAAAAGCAACATTTTACGCCTCTGGGTTTGCTGGTTCGAGAACGGAAAAAGTGTTATGTGAAATAAGCAGAAAGCAAAGAGAGGTATCTATTACTGCCACGGTACCTAAAGATGGGGAATACATTCTGACGATATGGACAGCTAGCAACTTTGAACAGCGCAAAAGGAATGGTTATCAACCCGTCTGTCATTACTTGTTGACATCGTACGCTACAGCTGTGCAGGAGGTCAGTATTTATTGTTAATGATACAATGTTACATTTATTCAGACGGTCAATATGTGTTGTTAACGTCGTTTGTTAAAACTGTACTGGTTATTAGTATTCGTTGTTGACGTCGTTTGTTAAAACTGTACAGGTTATTAGTATTCGATGTTGACGTCGTTTGTTAAAACTATACTGGTTATTAGTATTCGTTGTTGACGTCGTTTGTTAAAACTGTACAGGTTATTAGTATTCGTTGTTTACGTCATTTGTTAAAACTGTACTGGTTATTAGTATTTGTTGTTGACGTCGTTTGTTAAAACTGTACAGGTTATTAGTATTCGTTGTTTGCGTCATTTGTTAAAACTGTACTGGTTATTAGTATTGGTTGTTGACGTCGTTTGTTAAAACTGTACGGGTTATTAGTATTCGTTGTTTACGTCATTTGTTAAAACTGTACTGGTTATTAGTATTCGTTTTTGACGTCGTTTGTTAAAACTGTACTGGTTACGTCGTTTGTTAAAACTGTACTGGTTATTAGTGTTTGTTGTTGACGTCGTTTGTTAAAACTGTACTTGTTATTAGTATTTGTCGTTGACGTCGTTTGCTAAAACTGTACTGGTTATTAGTATTCGTTGTTGCCGTCGTTTGTTAAAACTGTACAGGTTATTAGTATTCGTTGTTGATGTCGTTTGTAAAAACTGTACTGGTTATTAGTATTCGTTGTTGATGTCGTTTGTTAAAACTGTACTGGTTATTAGCATTTGTCGTTGACGTCGTTTGTTAAAACTGTACTGGCTATTAGTATTCGTCGTTGACGTCGTTTGTTAAAACTATACTGGTTGTTAGTATTCGTTGTTGACGTCGTTTGTTAGAACTGTACTGGTTATTAGTATTCGTTGTTGGCGTCGTTTGTTAAAACTGTACTGGTTATTAGCATTTGTCGTTGACGTCGTTTGTTAAAACTGTACTGGATATTAGTATTCGTTGTTGACGTCGTTTGTCAAAACTGTACTGGTTATTAGTATTTGTCGTTGACGTCGTCTGTTAAAACTGTACTGGTTATTAGTATTCGTGGTTGACGTCGTTTGTTAAAACTGTACTGGTCATTAGTATTCGTTGTTGACGTCGTTGTTAAAATTGTACTGGTTATTAGTATTCGTAGTTGACGTCGTTTGTTAAAACTGTACTGGATATTAGTATTCGTTGTTGACGTCGTTTGTTAGAACTGTACTGGTTATTAGTATTCGTTGTTGCCGTCGTTTGTTAAAACTGTACAGGTTATTAGTATTCGTTGTTGATGTCGTTTGTTAAAACTATACTGGTTATTAGGATTCGTTGTTGACGTCGTTTGTTAAAACTGTACTTGTTATTAGTATTTGTCGTTGACGTCGTTTGCTAAAACTGTACTGGTTATTAGTATTCGTTTTTGACGTCGTTTGTTAAAACTGTACTGGTCATTAGTATTCGTTGTTGACGTCGTTGTTAAAATTGTACTGGTTATTAGTATTCGTAGTTGACGTCGTTTGTTAAAACTGTACTGGTTAATAGTATTCGTCGTTGACGTCGTTTGTTAAAACTATACTGGTTACTAGTATTCGTTGTTGACGTCGTTTGTTAAAACTGTACTTGTTATTAGTATTTGTCGTTGACGTCGTTTTTTAAAACTGTACTGGTTATTAGTATTCGTTGTCGACGTCGTTTGTTAAAACTATACTGGTTACTAGTATTCGTTGTTGACGTCGTTTGTTAAAGCTGTACTGGTTATTAGTATTTGTCGTTGACGTCGTTTGCTAAAACTGTACTGGTTATTAGTATTCGTTGTCGACGTCGTTTGTTAAAACTATACTGGTTACTAGTATTCGTTGTTGACGTCGTTTGTTAAAGCTGTACTGGTTATTAGTATTTGTCGTTGACGTCGTTTTTTAAAACTGTACTGGTTATTAGTATTCGTCGTTGACGTCGTTTGTTAAAACTATACTGGTTATTAGTATTCGTCGTTGACGTCGTTTGTTAAAACTGTTCTGGTTATTAGTATTCGTTGTTGACGTCGTTTGTTAAAACTGTACAGGTTATTAGTATTCGTTGTTGACGTCGTTGTTAAAATTGTACTGGTTTTTAGTATTCGTTGTTGACGTCGTTGTTAAAATTGTACTGGTTTTGAGTATTCGTTGTTGACGTCGTTTGTTAAAACTGGACGGGTTATTAGTATTCGTTGTTGACGTTGTTTGTTAAAACTGGACAGGTTATTAGTATTCGTTGTTGGCGTCGTTTGTTAAAACTTTACTGGTTAGTAGTATTCGTTGTTGACGTCGTTGTTAAAATTGTACTGGTTTTTAGTATTCGTTGTTGACGTCGTTGTTAAAATTGTACTGGTTATTAGTATTAGTTGTTGACGTCGTTTGTTAAAACTGTTCTGGTTATTACGTCGTTTGTTAAAACTGGACAGGTTATTAGTATTCGTTGTTGATGTCGTTTGTTAAAACTGTACTGGTTATTAGGATTCGTTGTTGACGTCGTTTGTTAAAACTGGACGGGTTATTAGTATTCGTTGTTGACGTTGTTTGTTAAAACTGGACAGGTTATTAGTATTCGTTGTTGGCGTCGTTTGTTAAAACTTTACTGGTTAGTAGTATTCGTTGTTGACGTCGTTGTTAAAATTGTACTGGTTATTAGTATTCGTTGTTGACGTCGTTTGTTAAAGCTGTACTGGTTATTAGTATTCGTTGTTGCCGTCGTTGTTAAAATTGTACTGGTTATTAGTATTCGTTGTTGACGTCGTTGTTAAAATTGTACTGGTTTTGAGTATTCGTTGTTGACGTCGTTTGTTAAAACTGGACGGGTTATTAGTATTCGTTGTTGACGTTGTTTGTTAAAACTGGACAGGTTATTAGTATTCGTTGTTAACGTCGTTTGTTAAAACTGTACTGGTTATTAGTATTCGTTGTTGACATTATATGTAACATCTTGACAGAGGATCAACATTTGCTGTAAGCATCGTTTGTCACATCTGAACAGTATATTAGTAGACATCGTATTTACACTTTGACAATTGTCAGTTCTTGTTGTTGACTTCATATGTCACACATGTACAGGATGTTAGAATGTATTGTTGTCGTTGTTTGTAACACTTATGTAATGATTGGTATTTATTGTTGATGTCGTTTGTCAAACTTTTGTAATAATCGGTATTTGTTGTTGACGTCGTATGTCACACCTTCACAGAAGACTAGTATATGATGTTTACGTGTCACACATGTACAGGGAAAAGTGAATAATTTCACGTCTAATGTAACACATGTACGGGATAATAGTAGATAGATCTGGCATCGTGTGTTATACACGTACAGGAGATCAGTATTTGCTTTTGTCGTTGTGTGAAACATCAATGATAAATAAAGGTATATACTTGTTTTACTAGTGTACCGGTATTATCAGAAATTTGAAGAACAGTTAATAACAAATAAGCCCATATGTGGATATCCTGTGTTCGGTGGCGAACAGGGCACGAGCTATTAATTGTTGTCCTTCATTATTTGTGTTTCTATGTTACACGCATACAAATAGATATAAAACAGTTTTGCCTATTCTGGTTTAGTGAGGTTGTGTTTTAACATTATGTGTATGAATTGATTTTTTTCGAATTGTCAGACTTTTCTATATTGTTATTTCAAGTCTCCCCGACAAAGACATCAGAGACGAAAACTCCAAAGTGCCATGGAAACAGAAGACATGAATGGGATGGGAAATGCCATAGAACTATGCATTAAAGAAGGAATAGATCCGAATGATGATGAACTTGAATACGCCAAACTCAAATGTCAGGTCATCAAAGCTAGGAAAGGTAAAGATTACATTTCATTTACATAATTTTATTCTCTACAACAATTACGGATTGCTTCAATCCCTTGAGCGCTGGTGTCCTCTATATTTGCTTGGATTTAGCGAGACATCCTGCCGGTTGAAAGATTTGGTTTTTGATAACTTTGTTTTTTGCTTTCTTATCTGTCGAATTTGAGTTTCGATTCTTTCCTTGTGTGTTGGCGCTGTGATGTACTTTTTTGATGGAGTGAAACTCTTTTGAAAACATCATCATCATCATCATCACCACACTGATATCGTGAAAATTTGAAAACCACGAAAAAATACCCGTTATGGTAATTGAAACGAATAGAAATATGTTCTAAAACAATTGGTCATCCAACTAAATGTTAGTACACCAATATGTAAAATCCTGTGTTTTATTGGATATTTTTCAGATGTACATGATTGCAGTCTAAGAAAGAATCTCGACATAACAGTACAGACCCTAAAGTTTATCAATCAGTCCAGACTGACCAAAGTTCTCTGCCAGGAAATCGTGACACTTAACAATTTAAAGGAAGGACAAGACTACGGCCACGTGGATCCGGACTATGTGGAGACGGAGACAGAATCGGAATACTCTCTACAGTATTCCATGGAACCCAGAAAACATTTAACACTACAATAGAAACCTGTAAATCCAGACACGTTCATGCCTGCAAAATATCTTGAAGTTATGCTTTAATTATAAAAGCAAATGTGCTTTATTTTACAGAATGCACTAGCATCATTAGAATGAGTTTTGTAATTGCATATATGTACTGTACATCGTTAAATGTCCACCGCTTTGTAAATTTTGCCCTTTTCTCCGTCTTGTTCTAGGGATAATTCCTCACGAAGTTAGTACACAACTTCTTGTTTATATTATGGGAATATTTTCATTTTGATATGCGAAATTAATATTCAGCCAATATGGATATAATATGTAAATGGCGAACATTTCATTAAGTGAAATGTACACAATACTGTACGAGACCAACTTTATATCTTCAAAGCTTTGTTTGAATGGGAAATAAGCAATATACCATGTAAGGAAATGGAAACATATTTTCAAATTGCGAGGTTTTTAGGAACCTCTCGTGTTGCAATAAAATAAACGTGTTTGATAAGTGATAGGGGAGCGTAATTGTAAAATAAGAAAAGAAGTATATTTGAAATATTTATACATTGATTTTAGGTAATTTATTACTGTACAATCTAGTTCGAAAATGTTGCAGAAACAAAGAAACATCTTATCATCCACGAAATGTATACCATCTCAACACACTTATCACAGTTAATCGCAATGCATAATATCTTATTTACTCGATTACAGTATATTGTATATATTCTTTATATAATAATGTGCATTGTTCAACAAACTGTCTTGATGCATGCATTATTCTTCTTCATACTTTAATTTTGACAACTTGTGTGCTCTTTGACAAACACTGCCGACTGCTTGCTATAATTTGTGCAATAGTTTCAGTATAGGTAAACAATATATCAAGAACAGTGATAACTGGTAACAATATATGACAGCTTTGCAGATCCCACACGTCATTGATACAAATACAATTGAAAACATCAGTGCCATTTCCCTAATGAAATATTGAACTTCCGTGGATCTGTATTGCTTAATTATTTTCTAAAGAAAATATAAAGGTTCCTATATTTCTAATTAGGATTTTTTTAGCTTAACAACTATAATACCAAACACTTTGTCGTGGCAAAGAGAAGGAAATAAACAACGTTTATTGCCAAATCCCACCTTGTGGTATTGATAAGGTGGTCTTCAGTTCGAACTGCAACTTCATCAAAATATTTCCTTGGATATAGTGTATGTATCATTGACCTATTTACAGCTTAACCTGTCTTGAACTCATTTATCATATCATTGATGAAAATAACACTCAAATTGTATATGTTATAAATTATAATTTCCAAGTGTCGATATAGGACTCGCACAACTAAATCAGCCAATCAGCAAGTGTTTCATACGTTTGTAGTCCCTATCTAAAATTAGTTCCGGCTAATAACTGGGGCACTGAGGAAGTTTAATAAGGAACTGATGACAGATTTTTAGATAAATGAAATGTTCAGGTATTTAACTTTAGAAAAATGTATACCTTTGATATATTTCCATGTCCTTGTGCGGATTTGCACAGGGGCAAAATGTCTGGGGGCGTTTCTGTTTTTGGTCACCGGTTTTGCTTGTAAACTTCCGGTTGTCAACTTCTGGACGCTTTGACACTCTAATATGCCACTAAACCTATCAAAAAAGTCGTTGTGTAACCTTTGCAAGGTATGTTTTTATGAATCTAGACAGTTGTCATTGGTGTTGAACTTCAAATATTAAAGTTATTAGCTAAAATGTTTGGTAATAACATATAGTAAATGATTTAGTTGTGTGAGTCATATAGAGGTCCCTGTAAAATGTTATAATCTATCGGTTTCAGCCCACTTTCGTCGATGTCGTTCACCTCCGGTTATATCTGCTCGTATCCGGGTTTTATATATCTGATAAAAGAACAATAATATAAATATTGATAAAAGAATGATGATGTATCGTATTTTCATTACCGTGTTGTAGTTTCATTGATGAATATGTTAGAATCCATCTGAAATGCTCGGCTCCACTCTCTTTGCGTCATATTTTTAATCTAATGTTAATCTAATTGGATATATATTTTTCCAGTTTTTATCTGTCCACTGTAATTAGATAAATAGAAGAATATGACATCATACATGCATGAGGTCAAATAAATCTGAATCGAAAGAGTCCTTTTGTTTTATTATTTTTAAGATTGAAAAATGGTATGTCCAGTTTAACACGAATTGCATCATCATCATCAGCATCATCATCAGCATCATCGTCGTCGTCATCATCTACACAGGTTCCTACACACAAGAATATTTCATCTTACCACTGCTAAAGCCAGCATCGATGTATTTTTGGAAACAGACACCTCACCACCTGCTAAAACAGCTTTCCTTTTCACTATTTTGGCTCTAAGCATCACCGATAAGTCCTAGAAGGACGATACGGCTGTATGGTGCAGTGTTTTTCATTCATGTTTAGTAGTACTTTTATTTGCTCATGTTAAACGTTTTCCTTAATTTCAAAGTTCTTAAGCATTACCGATATGCGTAATTGCATATTATTGAATGAATTTTAACGTTTTTGATCTGCTCAAATCGTATTGAATGAAAACAAATCATAACACTTTTTAACTTTTAGTTAATCGAATACAATTAAAAATGACATATATTATCTGTTTTATTTTTGTATTTTATTGTATGACAATACTGCTGTATTGAAATATCAGCTAGATGAAGGTTTTCCCGTGATGAACGTTATTGTGAAAATTACAATACGTAGACTTTCACAAGCTCCAGTATCAGCGCAAACTACACAGACTTTCATTTAACAAGTTTCAGTTATTAAAAATAATACGTGTGAATTGAAATATGTCAATTGAATCAAAGCCGTTGAATAAATCACTCTATAGAAAATTGCATAGCGCTTGACTCTGTCATCAGTCATGGAAAACAACATTAATTAAAAATGACTGTGTCACAGACAATTGACAAAAGACCTAAAAAAATTCAAGCAGGATTTCAATTGTAAACGTATGAAATATAAAAATAAAATAGCGGGCATACGTGTTATTTATAATACTGTAGCTACTTCTTCAGAAAATAAATATTCATGACGCACTTATATAAGACAGTAAATTGTTGTTAAACAGCTATATATAAACACATGGTGTGGTGTTACACATGAAAGTTGAACGTAACACACACAAGTGATACATAAAGTATGAATACACGAATTACACTGCAGCATGCAGCTGTCCTTCTGAAGCTCATCGACGATATTAGGAGCAAAACAGTCCAAATTGGTCCAAACTACAGTTGAAATGGAAGGGAAGGTGCATAGATACCCTTAAGTATATGAATGTTTAAAATTGATAGAAGTACTGGTTAATTTCAAGACTTAACGCTTGATAACACTGACCGATGATTGGAGTAGGGAGAGGCATAATGGCAACCTTACTATTATCTTGACTGATAACTAAACCGTTATTTGAAGAGCTGTTTATGTTTTTTTCTTTTAAGTCATATCTTCCACTTATGACAGATTATCAAGTTATTCATATTGTGTTTATTCAGTATTTTGTCGACGACCTCTAGAATTCGCCGTTGTCAGGTAAGTCCAGGTGAATCATCTGATCTACTGCTATCCACGATGTACGGAAACTCATATGTAGCATAATAACAACTAGTGTTAAGACAATGATGGACATTAGGTATCGTATAGGGGTTCTAATTAAGATAGATATGGTAATAGTTAACAAAGCACTAAGGCTGTTATTTAAATTGCAATATGTATACTTTGGTCGGCTTTTGTTTGCATTGTCCATTGCTTCAGCGCATATCAAAAGAAATAGTTTAGGGCATATTATTAACTGTGGAGTTTATTCGCAGTATGCGACGACAAATAAACGTGTTAAGTGTACTTCGCAGCTGATTTGAACTTTTAGGTCAATCAAGCAACAAAGTGAAGGGAAACGACATACATTTTTGACAAAATATGATGTAAAGAATACGACTATGAAAAATTTACATATAACGCTATGTAGAAACTGTCGTGTTACATCTGTCGTTCTTTCAGTATTCCGTCTTTGCGGGAGTAGGCATTGATTGTTACGTCACTTGTTTGTGAGAGTAACGTCATCAATTTTTGAGAAAACGACGTAATTTTCTCGCACAAACTAATGACGTAACAATCAATACCTGCTCCCAAGAGAAGATAACTCTGCAATACGCAAAGACGGAATTCACATACAACTAATACTGGAACAATTGCTGTAGAAATGCAAACATAGATATAAAAGGGAAAACCCCCACACATTCTCACAAAATGTAAAACGTTATATCAAAGCAAAGAAGTCATAAATACCGTAGAAGGATCTATATTATGTTTCTTTTCGGCGATACTTCAAGTACTGAGAAACTGTCCCCGGTGCAAAAAATTATGTAAGATAAAGAAATTAGTTTTGTTTAAATGTTTTAAATTCTATTTGTTAAATAGAATGAGGGAATGTAAAGATAAATATACTTGATGTTATATCAAGAATCAAAAATAAATATGCGTTTGAACGAGAGAATGGTTGGACGAATCTGACAAATGTAATCCTAGGACTCCAAATCTGGGTCCTGCTGTCATTATCTGGAAACTCACAAGGACAAAATGGAAAATCAGAATTCCAGAATTATTCGTTTTTTAATATATAAACAGAAACCGAAGGGTTGGACTTACAGGAAGCTGCTGTTGGTGAGACAGTTTGTACAGATAATTGTAAACTAACACCTACACACACAACACACACTCTCTCATACTTATCATGCCTACACTCCTAAGTCTTAGTGATTTACCGACCCCATAGTCCGATGTCTGATGAATTTGATGGAAACGGTCTGAAGAGGTATATATCGCACAAACCTATCACGCGCTATTTAGCCTCGCCCCTTTATGTACACATTTGGACTCAGATAGGATATTATTGTCGGCTTAATACTATTTTCAAAACGTTGATAAATCGGCAAATCATGTTTAAAAACATAAATAAATAAATATAAAGGTAAATAGTACACTTTTTATTTCCATGTTCGTAATATTCCAGATTTAAATTATATATTTAACTGGGATATAACGTTAATTGTCGTGTTTTGTATAATTTACGTAAGAATGTATTATTTTTGATAAATGTCTAGAAACATGGCAGCAGAATTGTGAAATATCTTGTCCAGTGTGTCAGGTGAATTCCTTAGCCTCCCGACATTTAAATCACGCCTCATTTTATCTTTAAATAACTTGCGATAAATTGACTATCATCGCTGGTTGTTAAACGTCTAGAATAGATTAGCAACAGGCGATGGCATTTTAAACATTCTTATTTGACCCTACCCCTAACCTATCCTATTTCTAAATCGACACCTATTTGTACTTCTACATGGATTTGCACAATAATGGAAAATCACATATTAGTTTAGAAAAAATGAAACCATACTTATACTCATAGTTGAGAACATACTTTTTATAGAAAGGCGAAATAAACTTCTAAAAATAACTTATATTTTCATTTCGTAATAACGTGTACTACAACAATAACGTAAGGTTTAGGGCCACATCTTATTATAAAGGATCCCTGTCAACAGTGACCTCCCCTTAATTTCATTTTTGATACAACTATAGCGCAGTTGGCCCAGGACACTTTCGTTGATCAGTTAGTTCAGTCGATTAGAGCGATATTATAACAATCTGAGGTCCTGGGTTCGAATCTCGGCCTATCCCCGTTCAGAACACTGGTGTTGATTATCTTTTGTTTAATTCACTTCACTTTTCATAAAAATCACACTAGGGGTTTTTTTCAGAAAAAATATATTGTTTATTTAAACTTGTAACTGTGTAGTTTCAAGTATTCGCAGTGTTATGGGGATCCTTAAGAGATGGGAACATCCGAAATTTAAAACACATTATGTCATATAAGTCTCCTTTTTCTTCAGCTTCAGGGTTTTACATTTACCTACATGATGACAAAAATGATCATCTCGCTCCTTATGTAACTGACAATTACGTGTTAAATGCATAACAAAGATGATTGGTCTGAGATAAATATAATTATATATAAAAAAAGCCGTCATGTTAATATAAAAGGACAAATTGAAATGCAAAGTCAATACGATATATGAGTAGACATCAAAATAAAATACATACATCAGTATCCCAATAACAACATCGACTATGTAGAAATCGAAACAAGAGGTAAGCCATCAGGATCCCAATAATAGAAAACAGCCATTTCTTGCATTAAATATGACACCCGTCATCCCCACAAAAGCGAAATATAAATGTGCATCTGTCAAAAGACGGTCTAGACACATCATCGTATCTGAAATCTGATTTACAAAACCCAACCATAACACGCGTACAGCTTTGCCAAATGAAATTACAACGTGTAATGTTTGATTTGAAAAATGCACCATTACTAACATTATCGATATTATATATAATGATATCAGTTTTGCACAGGCCA